TATAATTAAATACATAATTATAATTTAATAAATAAATAATGTAGTTACCTCAAGGCATATGAAAGCTGCCATTTATCTTTTTGCTGGAAGCTGTCACGCCTGCTGCTAATTACGCCCAGCGGCAGTGGAACTCATCGATTTTCACACAACAACAAAGCTTTGCTTAGCTTAATTTTCCTAGCTTAAAGCAACATTTCCTTAACATAAACATGAGCATGCCACCACTGACTACAGCGTATACCGAGCAGCGCTCCATTCTGGCCCCACTTCAGCTGGTACTCGCTTCAACCTCGACCAGACATCATTAATGTTAATTAACCAAATAAGCAACTTGTTGCCCTACTTAAGCGTGCGTACTGCAGCCACCAGTCAACCAGCCAACCGAGTATGCAATATATAAAAGCCAACATTTCCACTTGCTTTCCCGAGCGAGCGTGAACAAAAAAAGTTCAAGCCTTACAAGTTATACAATGACGCTGATGGACTGTGGCTGGAGTTTGCGACAGCAGAGAGCGGGCGGTAGCCACCCTCATAACATGAAAGCGCTTTGTGGCTTTGTGCGAAGAGAGAAACCCTTGTGGCATGCACGACCTACCCCGACCCCTTTTCGTTACGAAATACAACAGCAGTCTTTGTATTGTGCTATTTTTTACATTTTCAACATTAATTAGACAAAAGCGGCACATTTTTGTTTTTGTTCCACAGGCACAATGTTCAACATAAAGTTGTTTAGTATTAATTCTTTTTTTTCAGTTTACATCCACAAAGTTGTCAAGCTAACCTATTTAAGTGCCCATGTCAACTCGGTTATTGAGCTAGGAATAGAGTTGGCCAATTGGCTGTATACAACCACCATTACTGTGGCGCGTTACTTGGGCACACTAATTAAATCGAGTTTTTAAATTGTTTAAAGGGAGAGAGAATGTTAGAGAAGGAGAGTGTGTGTGAGAGCGATAGAGGAAAGATAACAAAAGTAATACTTGTACTATGATTGAGTGTAAAGGCAAAAAGGTTTTTTAAAGCGGAAATAAAATAACATCCCTGGAATAAAATATATTTTTCTCAGAATGAGCTTTAGAAGACGGAACACCTCAAGAGCGCTAAAGCAATTTAGTAGTTACAATAAAAGGAAAATAAATATTTATAGTACATAAATTTCTTATAGAGACGTGAACAAACAAATTTCGAAATATTTTTAACACTAAATTCGAAGCAGTGCATAGATATAAACAATAAAAAGCTCAAGAGCTCATTCGATCATACTTTTTAATAAAATTGTATACCCCAACGTCATATAAATTTCGAATAATTTTTCAAATTAAATTCGAATCAGAGTATAAACAAAAACATTAATAAATCAGTTAAATGCTCATTCGATCATACCTCCTGTATTCCCCGACGTCAAATAATTTTTCGCATTAAATTTAAAGTAGAATATAAAAATAAACAATTAAAAGCTCGTTCGATCAAGCTTTTTACTAAATTTGTTCTCCCAACATCATTCAACTTTCTAAAGATTTTGTACATTAACTTCGAAGCAGAACATGCATATAAACGGTTAAAAGCTTATTAGATCATACGTTTTATTAAAATGGTTCTTGACTAGAAATGCCATTTCAGCTTCAAACCGAGGCCAGTCAAAGTTATTTTTCAAACAATTAGTCTCTCTCGGAATAAACTAAATATTGCAATCAATTTTAATCCTCTTTATAGGCTTGCCAAAGCTATTTTGAAGCTTCAATACGATGAAATCCATGAAACAAGTGTATTGAATTCAACCTAGTCTTAAAAATACAAAACCTTTGAGACGTTAAATTTTCAAAATCATCGCATGAGCTTCTCACTATCTACTATTGCCTTCTTTTACATCTTTTTGTTCACAAATAACCCGAGCAGGCCCGAAAGATACTCGTATATCAAAAAAACCATGCCTGCTGTAATCATTACAAAAAGTCGAAGTTTTAAGTTCAACTAGCAAGAAGAAAATTGATCTTAAGCGCCTTCATACTTGAAGCAAAGCGAAGCAAAAGTTCTATGTGAATCAGCCATAAATCACTCTTTTGATATTCTATAGGACAAATTTCATGAAAATGCTTGTTGAATTCAACTTGCTCTTGTAAATACCAGCACATCGAGACTGTTAAACAGTAAAATCATGGATATTGCTCTTATAACATACATATACTTGTACAATATCTTGTCTTCATTAATCCAACTTGACAATATTTGCTAACAAAACTGATGAAATTTTAAATAAATTGCTCATTACAGAAAGCTCGAAGCTTAAAGCTCAATTACGAAGTAGGAAAGAAATAATAAATAAAGACCCCATTATTAAATGCTTGAGGATTATAGCTCAATTACGATGTAGGCTATGAAAATTCATTAGAAACTTCTTTCATTCAGTCTATATATGTCTACTAATAACACAATCTATTATCTATTTTATAGATCACTAGTTTAGGATAAAACTAGTATAGGCTGTTGCATTAAATATTAAGCTATTTTTCAAATCAAATCCCTCGGATAAAAATTAGGCTGTTCAAACTTAAATGAATTAACTAAAAGATCATACTAAAGCGAGCTCCAAACTCTTTACTTTTTACGACCGCTATATTACTTTCTCAGTATAAATTATTTTGGATTTAGTTGGTAAATACATTTTAACGACAACTGGAAATGGAGCTCGGATAACAAACGGTTATATTTGTTAGAAAATCGTCAAACAAATTTTTAATACCAAAGATTAGACCATTCATTACAATGTACTAGAGAGAAATCCGTTGAATATATCTATATAAACCCAATTTTGTCGAAATCTTATTTCACATTATACTTTACAATGATCGGAGCATTTTAAAAGCTCATGCATTTTCACTCAGTGCTCTACTAAGAATATATTTAAAATAAATAAATGTTCTATTTAAAATGTTTATTAATGCGATTTTGTAATTATAATATATGTTTATATATATTTTATCCATTATTTGTTATTGCTTTTATCAGCATTAAGAAATACTATATAAATGAATATGTAAGTTTCATGAAAGCTTTTATAACTTTTCTTTGTTGCTTCAAAACAAACCATTTAAAATTCCACACATAATCTCTTATAAAATATTTCCATTATTTGTAAATCTCTTAGAAGTCTATATATACTATACTACTTATATATAGCATTAGAATGTAAAGCAATGCTAGCACGCATCTTGCCCACAAAGCTTCCATTAAAACGAGTCATGTGTAAGATTTTTATGCCAACAAATTGCAAAATTCAATTTTCCTCGCCTTGCATTCTTGTTGATTATTGTGTTAGAAAATAATTATCCCTTCTGCTGGCATATACAAGTATATTTATGCTTGCATGTCCATGGCCTTGTTGTCTATAGAAATTGCTCTAAAGGTGCTCGAACACATTGTTAGGCGCTCAAGTGTAAAAACTTTTGTAAACTAGAGAAATTACGATGCTTGAGGAATTTATTATGGTGTTTTCATATTTTTTATTCAATAAATAAAAATTTGTTGTAGTGAAAGCCGGCACATCAAGGCTACCAGATATTTTTTTTTTGTTGTAACATAACTTTTGAGTGAAGATTGATAATATTTCTATTTCTATCTTAATTGAAAATATTTCTGAAAACAAAGGCGAAATTTAATTGAAGGAATCAATACATAATTTCAATAGATAAATTTGCCAGACATTTTAAAAAATATAGTATAAGATGTGATCTAACAATAATTCAATATCGAAACAAAATTTGCATACCAATTTATTTCCTTTTTTTAAAAACTAAAATATTTTTAATAACTTTACATTTATTTTTAAGATGTATCTTTCTAGTTAGTTGTCCCAATAAATAGTGACAAATAGTGACATTTATATAACATAAGTATATATCTAAAATTGAGTGCGACTCTTTTTTATTAGAAATTCGTTTTTTGTATTAATAATATTACTTTTCGTCATAAAAAATTTCGCATAAACACATTTCCTTAAGTTAATGCTATATTCTTTTAATATAAGTATTGAAATATTCCAACTAATATAAAAGTAATGGCATAATGGATTAGTTCGTCTTCTATTCGTCACTTTTTTAGTATGTATGATAACTGCTTATTATTCTAACTCTCTTTAATTATGCCAATTTATACGACTAATACCGGTATACTTTCTTCAGCATAGTGTCTGAACGAGCAACTTGCATGCAAGAAAATTGATTATTCAAACTAAAATGTAATATAAGCATAGAGATCGGGTGTATTAAACGCCTCAATTGAATTAGACAAATCGCAGCTGAAACAAAATTAAGCGAATGGCGCTTAATGAACTGAAGACATGCAAAAGTCAAGCGATAGCAGATAGCAAGAAAGAAGCGCCATTGTGAATTAATGACTGAAGCTTAAAGGTGCTGAGGGTAAAGCTAATGGCTTAAATTGTTGAATATTTGAAGTAATTATGCAATTAATGGCGAAATGCTCAGGAATTAGTTGTGGTGAATTAAATGGAAATTCCTTTTTGGTCTCTAGTATAATCGGAAGTGATAAATTAATGGATATATTTGAGAAAAATGTATATAATTTTTAGCTTAAGGTACACAAACGAAGTTAAATTTACTTTCAGAATGTATATAATGACTTATTAATGATAAGCTTTATATTTGACTGAAAAAAATGCCCACCACACTTGCAACAGTATTTTAAAAATGTTTTTTTGAAAGTCGACATTGACTGATTTCAGCATAGTGCTGGTCTGCTTGTGCTTAGTAATGTGCCTATACTGGTTAATTTGGCTGTATTGAATTACATACTTTATAAGAATCAATTAATTTACTATATATATAACTTTATACCAAAAAGTAATCAAAAGCTAAGTTCAAAACACTTTCATAATCTCTTTAATACCTGAAAATCGTTAAAGCATCGCCTTACGGCCACAAAAATTACCAGTTTTACTCTGTAACGCCTTACTAATCAACAAATCTGCTTCGTCTCATTTGCAGGACCTCCGACTCCAGCACACAGTTGACAACATCAGCCGTGCCGCCAGAAACAACACAGAATCAATTAAAGTCCACAACGGCTATAGCCGCCGCAGCAGCAACAGGCAATGCCGCACACAACAACAATAATAATAGCAACAACAACTGCAATAGCAATAACACAGCCAGTAATCGACGTCTGCCATTCTGTGGTTTAGATTCCATTAAAGGAAGTGACAGTAATGGTTTGGGCGATGGTGTTGTTGGTGGTGCCACCAATTTATGCTTCGATTTGCATGGTAGCAACAGTGGCGGCATCAACACCAGCAATCGACACACTGGCGCTGGACTCGGCCAACACGACGGTGTTCAACATCATGATAACATATCAGAGCAATTTCACTCGCTGGATGCGGCAGACAGCAGCTGCTGTGGCGATGGACAGTTCGAGGATGATATGCAAGCTTTGTTGCCGAAATGCAAGCGCTACTCGGGAGATGAACTCAGTCAGGTAAGTTTGAGGGACTTTATGTGTTTTGATGAAATGGGTGCGATAGGTATATTAATAATATAGGTCTTCGATTCACCACTACTATGCTCCATAAATTTGAGTTATAGAGAGAAAGATAGCAATAAAAGAGTTAAATTCAGTTCAAGCAAGTTTCTGTATAGCTTAGTACAGTGGTATAACCACTCATTCAATTTCTATGTATTTAGCGATTTATACCAGATATTAGTTCGATCCGATACTCTTCGAAACTAGTCGTATCGATGGTTGCTTGTATAGACCATATAATATATGTATGTATATTGATTTTCATTATTTTAATTACTTTTTATAAAGAAAGGTTTTTTATAAACATAAGTATAATTTAAGCGTGTTCGACTCGTGTAAGTGCCGCTCTGATGTCGAAAAACTTATTTATGAGAGCAACAAAATGTTATCTTGTCGGTCTTATAGCAAGAGAATTTGTGTATAACTCAGTAAAGTGTTTGTGTGCGTGTCTCTTTTTTATGCCAGTTTTAGTGAGTTATACCAGTTTCTTTTTTGAAATTTCCCTACATTATAATTTCTGTATAGCTCAGTTAAGGGCTTGATATCGTATCACAATTTTTTAATGCCAGTTTCAGAAATGTATACAAGTTTCTGCTTCATTTCGCTCCAGTTTCAGTGAGTTATACCATTATTTTGTCGTGTTGCTCCTCATTAAAGTTTATATAAATCTCAGTACACTGATCTTTATTTAATCTCTAATTTTTATGCCAGTTTTAGTGACTTATACCAGTTGCTACATTTAAGTTTCGCTACTCTAAAGTTGATGTATAGCTCAGTGGAGGGCCTGATATCTTATCTATATTTTCTTATGCCAGGTTTAGTAATTTCTACCAGTTGTTGGTTCTTTTCACCTCAGTTTTATTGATTTAGTCATGTTTATTGTTCGATTCGCTACTCTTTAAAGTTTGTGTATACTCCAATAAGGTGCTTGTAATTTTATCATTTTCTGTTTCGTTAGTGAGTACCAGTTATTTGTTCGTTACGCCTTTCTTCAAAATTTGCCGTCGACTGTTTACTAAGCATATACTTATGTGCGTTCAGTGTTGATTTTAGCTACATTTCATTGTTTAAAATGCAAATATACTAAGCTCTAAGACCTGTTTATGCAACAAAATGTCTCTGCAGTCCGGCTATTTAACCGTGTCCTTCAGCGATCCTTTTCGTAAATGCAAATTTCAAGGTAAATGCGCTTTTCTGCACTTAAACAGCTTACTTACTTTGCTTAAATAAAAGCTATTTACTGCATTGCATACAATTTTCAATATCTTCTTTGCGCATTTCATTGTCGTAATAGAAGATGTTTTTTTCTTTTTTCGTTCTTCGTGCGCTTACGGGCGTCTATAACCAAAAGCACTGCATTTATTTCCACATTTCGTCTACTTATTTGCATAGAATATAAATAAGCTGCTAGCGAACTTAGCGTTTCCGCTACACCAACATAGCCAGTGTGTTATCCTGCAAGGACAAGCGCGCTTTGCCGTTGTCCACTCAGCTGACAACACGCTTGGGACTCACTTTCGCTTTGATTTGTGTTTCGAATATGATTGGGTTTAGTTATTTTTGTTTGCACAATGCATAGCATTGATTTTTTTGTGCTTTACAAGAAAACAGCAAAAAGGATTTCCCGCTTAGATATGTTTAGTTGCTCGACAGGCTTATTAATAATTCATTATTTTTGTTTGCATTGATTTGGAAGCGTTTTTTCTTTAATTTTCTGGGGTTGGAAGCACTTGAGTAAATCGATTTCCTATTTTCTATCAATGATTGTCATCTTCTCCGCTTTCTATTGCATTGCCCAAAGGAATATGAATTCACACATGCATACATAAATATACACACACATAAGCATGTACAATATATCTTTTCTAATCCCTTTTTTTTTTTTTGTGTGTATTTCAATTTCGCATCGAACTCAGCTGCTACCTTGAAAATTGTCAGCGTCGCATTCTCATATTTATTTATGTAAACAAATTTATGGTTTTCATTTTCAAACGCCCCTTTGCTTACATGCCTTCTTCGCTTAATAATTGTCTGTATTTCCACAAATAAATACGCACACACATACACGCAAAGGCTCTTAGAGCTGAATTACCAGTTTACTTTATAGAATTCAGTTGTCTATTTGCTGTAGCTTTTGGGTAATTGCGCAATGCAAATATATTAAAGCGAGCAAATAACTGCTATATATACATACACATATATGTATATGTATATATATACACACAAACGTAAATGCAGATATACATACAAACGTTTACATGCCGTATTTTTAAATAAACACAGCAAATGATACTGTCAATGAATCTGTGTAAATACTCAATCTGAAAGTAGTTATTGTTTTCCTTAAAGGGGGAGCCATAAATCGTCTGCTGCGGCTGCTAAGGTAAATGCGGCTAACATGAAGCGCACAAAGCGGGGAATTCACATTTAAATAAAAAAATATATTTATGTACATTCAATAAAAAACAAGTACAGTTACACCGAAGATTGCTGTTGATCGGTCAGTTTGTATGGCAGCTATACGCTATAGTGGCCCGATCTGAGCAATTTGTTCGGAGATTATGCCGTTCCCTTAGAAATTAATCTATGCCAAGTTTCGTCAAGATACCTTGTCAAATAAAAAAGATTTTCCATACAAGGACTCGAGTTTGATCGATCAGTTTGTATGGCAGCAAAATATCAGATCCATATATCAAAATGAGGGACTAGTTCGCATATGTACAGACAGACAGACGGACATGTCTAAATCGACTCAGCTCTTTAATTTTTTTAATTCGTCTATATTTTTCTAACTAATTGTAATTATATCACAAAATATTATTATGTTATTATTGTTATTTTGTTTAAATTTTTTCTTTCGAAATTTTAAAAGTCTGGCAACAACTGTACAAACAATTGAGACACTGATATGCTGCTGAAAAACATAACAGTAGCTCGCGTTCCAGCTCTACACTGTTCTATCCTTTTAAATCACAGATTCCTTTACGTTACACCCAGAAATTGAAATATTTCCCTTCAAGCAAGCTGAAAGAACTCAAAGCTGTTACAAGAAAACACCCAAATCCACTACTAACATCTGCAAAGTGACTAACACTAAGCTGCAGTACCCAGCTCCGCTGCTTTTCAATTTCTCTAAATGCAAATAAATAAGCAACAATAACAACAACTACAGCAGCCAGCAAAGACAAAGTCATAACAACGCTGATTATCATAAAAGCCGTCGAAACTAACATACACAGCCGTGCAACTCAGCTGGCTTACGTGTACCTTGTGAGCTTTGAAGATTTATAGCATGCTCTTAGGCGCTTTGCAATTTAAATAGTATCGTTAAAGTTAGTTTAGTGCAGAGGTGTTTTAAAAATCGTTTTGTAGGTTAAGTGCGTGCATTAAGTGCCATAAATTCTGCGCGACTTAGGGGATATTAATGGTTTGGAATGTAAAGCAATGTTTATTCCTGAAATGGCGGCTAATATAAACAGAGGCGATATTAAAGTTAGATTTAGTGGAGTGTTTAAATCATGAGATAATAAATATATATAATACATAATTGAGTGAAATATACATAACTCGGGGAAATAAGCAGCGAAAAATTAGCTATGGATAATTTTGGTCGAAGCGTCGTAATAAATCACTCACAGCTCTATTTGGCACCTGGCTTTGGGAATTTTAGTGCTCATACTATTTTTTTCTTCAATTTAACTTTCAACATTTTAATTTGTGTCATGAAAAGTCATTTATAAATGCGCAAATATCTTTTTCAACACACTTCAACTGTAATTAGCTGTAAATTAATTCCAGCATTAAAGTTCATTCACGCAAAATGTTTCATAATGAAATTGAATTTAACTCTGCAAATTTGAAGTTTTATCTGAAGACTTTTTCACCACACTTGAGTACTATCTGTCAAATTATTTGACCATTATAGTGCATAAATCCTATTTTTAATACAAATAATAAATTTAATTCCCAAATTTTTATATTACTTAATTTTTATATTAATAAGCTTTATAAACGAATCAGCTATTTGTTTCACTACACTTACCTGCTATATGTCATATATTATCTTTAAAATTTATCAGTGCAATTTTTCCGTTACAAATTTTAATGTAAATCTCAAATTTTGTTTATTATCATTGAAAAACATTCTTTAAAACACTCGTTTGTGTATTTCACCACACCTACCTACTATGTGCCAATTTCTTTGACCACTAAATTTCATGAGTGCAATTTTTTTTAAGTGTTAAATTTTTCTCTTAAATTTTAGTGTTTTTTATTAAATATCCTTATAAATTTTTCACAACTTATACCCGTTATGTATCAATTTAATTGACGATTGAAATTTCGTAAAATATTAAATTTTCACATCAAGCAGGAAAAAAATTAAAAGCCAACAAACACAATTTAAATTAAACTACAAATTAATGAATTGAAAAAATTCGAGCGAAATGTTTTTTCCTTTCACTGCTATAGTGAAATTAATTTTGCATACAAAAACACATGAGAGCACAAAAAACTCCCATAAATTTATGCTGTCATCAACAATTTGAGTGACAACAGTTCGTCAAGTCCTTGAATGGAAGTACACATGCCATTGACATGGCGGTGGCCCACAAGACCAACAAAAACAAATTTAAAAAAAAGTAACGAGAAAAGCACCTAAAGCGTTGAAATTGCTAAACAAAAAAAGCGAAAAAATGCAATTGTTTTTCATCATCAGCAGTATGCAAAAATATGCAACAGTAAAAATGTTAATAACAAAAAAGCTAACGAAGGCATAGTAAAAACAACAAAAAACACATACAAAATAAAAATGAAAAAGTTGCAGTTATACTAGTGCTGTCTTGCCTGCATAGTAGTTGGTTAGTGCTGTGACAATGCGGATGTCAGCGCCTGTCTACTATAGGCTGAAGGTGCAACCATTGTAAATATTAATATGCTCACATATACGACCATCT